ATCTTTTTTTTTTTTTTTGTTAATTGGTTGTGACAAGACTAAAGGGCCATAATTATGGTGATAACCACACATTTAGAGTACCATAATTGTAATAATTGGTCGAAAGCTGGGTGGATGCCCATTCTTCCTATGTTGGCTACAGGCCATTAATTCCACAGTATGTAGAAAGTGAAATCCCATTCAAAGGAGTCGGTTTGGCTGCTATCCCCAAACAAATGCTCATTCATTTTCTGGAGCTCGACACATTTTAATGATCATGTTCATAGCAGTATAGAAAGTAAAATGACAGCTGCACTGATTTATAGACAATCTGGTGTAAATATACAATGATGAAAAATAATAACTACAACTTTAGACCTTAATTAACATGTATTATATAAAAATAAGTATTTTGCCTTCTTTTTTCCGCATTCTCTCTCTCTGCTGGGGTTCTGTGACAGTAGGGTTTTGATTAATGACAGGTTCTCCAGGGTGTGTGCTTTCACAGAAAACCTTCAGTCCTGTTTCTAATTCCAGCTCTCTTTCTCCGGGCTGCCATGACGCACGTAGGTTTTTGTTACAGCCAATTTAATGTTTTGCAACCATTATAGAGAATGGCAGAAAAGGGGCTCAAAAAGTACTAGAGAGTGTAAAATGGTTGCATATTTATATCTAACCATAAAACATCATTTATCTTTCACCTTTTAGTTCTTGGATTTATTGTAACTTTCTGAGGTGTGATATTAATAAACACTGGACGCTCCATAGATAAGCCCCATACATTAGCAATATTCTCTTACATTTTTTCAAGCTGCTTTTACTGCTACAATTTTTCTGATGAAAACTATTAAACCCAGATTTTCTACCAAAGAAATGTAAAATAACATGTACAATTATGGTGATTGTACATGTAAAACAATACAATCAAAATTAGAGTATGCATGATAGGTGCTATGTAGCTGCATATGCATGCTAATATGCTAATGCAGACATGTTTGCCACCTTAGTTTTAGTAGTGTTAGCATGCATAAAGTGCAGTCCTTTTTTAAATTGACTAAAGTTTGAACATTGACCCACAAAACACAGGCTTTAATTTTGGTTTTGGCATATTTACAGTCTGCAGTGAAATATATTCAAATTCTTGCTCATGACTGATACCAAATATTGTACTGCCTCCTGCTAACATTAATACATCTAAGACAGAAATAAGAGAAAGATGTTTTCTAACATGACTTTCCAATGTGTTTATGTAATACGTGAATCAAATACTTCTCAACAATTATATGAACTACTGAAGCATATATCCTGTTCCCGTGCATTTTGATATAAATAGATTGTATTTGAATACATTCTAAACATATCAAATTGAAGTTCATACTAGATTTATACTAGATTAAATTAGAAAAGAGCGTAGAATACATAACACTGCAGGCGGCAAGAGTCCCACAGTTGAGCATTGAAAATTGAGAGGAAGTAAACATGACAGATCTCAGAAAATGTAATATTATGTTAAAATCATGTCATGTCTTCAAAAGTTATGTTGGTTAAATCCTGCTCTTCGCATTGAAAAATCGAGGAGCTCTACTGCCCCCTTGTATGTTTTGAGCTGTACTGTACTATACAAGCTGTTAATAAACTTTTCAATCAATCAATCAATCAGTCCAAAAAGCGGTAAAGCAACCAATGACAGCATGTTCTCTGAGATTCTCTTTCTATCTGTTAGTTCAGACATTGATTTGACAATAGATCAATGTGGGTTTGTCATTGTATTCCCATAAGGGAACAGAACATTGGGTTCCATTCACCAAAGCAGAGACTCAAATGCAATCACCACCCAGGAAACTACCCAATACACCCTGACACATACTCACACACTTTATACACTTTATACACTTACTGTGTCCTTTCCTTCCTCTAGTTCAGGGCTTCTCAAACTCCGGACCAAGGTCCGGATCCGGACCGAACTGCAAATCAATCCCTGTGTCCCATTATAAAAAAAAAATTAAAAAAATAAAATTAAAAAAATTCTGATTCTGATAAATTAATGTACATCATCATGTACGCGCGTCTTGTGTCTGACGCGTTGTGAGAATGAACGTGCATATATATTTACTTGTGTGCGCGAGCGTGACACACATAGCAGACCGCAAGTTAACCGCAAGTTTACCTTGACATACTGTATGTATGTATTGAATGTGTGTGTGTGTATACAGGGGCGCCGTTTACCGACAGGCAAGGCAGGCAAGTGCTTGGACCAGAAGGGGGCCCCCAAAGAAGGTAGATTAAGAAGGTCCACAGCAACGACAACATGAAACACCATTTAATTTACTGCAACGACATGTCGGGAAACCCCCTCAAGGGGGCCCCATGCATAGAGCGCCAAGAAACTGCTTCTTAATTTCAGTTTCGTTTCTCTGGTGTCCTGGCTTCTCGAACTAGGCTTGATACATGTATTGAGGGAGCATTATGGGACCGATCTGGTGCTGCTGAGGGTTTAAATCCTCACAGAGCACGTCATCCTTTTTTCAACAATTTTAAAAACGATCAAAGCTATCAAAGACTCCTGCTGAAGTGTCCACCATTTAACAACTAGAGCAGGGGTACTCAAACTTTTTTATTAAAGGTCCAGTTGTGAACTTTATACAAGGTCACTGGTCCGGATCAATGCCAGTAAAGTCCCCCCCCCACACCAGGGAATAAGAGAGTGGCAAACATCAATAAGCCCATGTCAGTATATAACATTCTAAAAATCAAAGAAATACATATTTAGGTCGTTTGATGATTATAAAGGTAAGAATGGTATATTGTGTTTTTTTGTTGATTTGTTTTCTCAAGTCTTTCACCTTGGAAGAGTTCAAATTACACTCAAATGAAGTGGAATTATAAAAATTGAAATAATCAAGTACAAGTGACTCAAAGTAAAATACCAGTTCTTCTGGATCAGGTCCTCAGCGCTGTAGGTTTACTGTAAATGGCCGCTGACAACACTTGGCACCTCATGTAAGGCATCTTTATAAACAGTTAGAACTGGGAGAGTCATTATTCCCTCATGAAATAAAAAACTCCAGGAGATCCTTCCCTCCTGGTCAGCGTCAAAGTCATGACACTTCGGATAACTTATAAATGAACCCTTGAAACACACACACGTCATCCTACTTACAGAACAGAAGAATATTCCACACTGGTGAGTAAAAAACTATTTGAACTTTTAAAAACCTCCACGGGTCCTTTTGGTCACAAAGTTTTAGTCTAATCGAGGATCTTTAATCAATATGGCATGGCATTAAAAGAGGCAAGACTTTCTAATTGTTGAATTAATACAATATATATATATTTGAATGTGTTAATTACTACCTAGAAAAATGGTTATCTCCATTTTGCATGTGATTTTGGATTAAACAATGTAGATCAATTAAGTTTAAGTGGGTTTTCCCCTTTCATTATGCTCTTGCTACTTCAAAATATATGGACTGGAAATATTTGAGACTTATTCATGATCATAGATCAATATGCATGGAATACTAAACTCAATAGCATCCTAGTTTTTGTAATGATACTCTAACTGTTGAAATGTTTGCCATTTTAAATCTTGAGTTGGAAAATGCGATCATTTGAATATTTTCTGAAATCTGCAAAGATAGTTACACTGAATGTATTCTCATAGTTTTTTCCTATTGTTGCTGTCTGGCATTAGTTTGTACTTACAATAGGCAAAAGTGATACATGTATATGTATATTTTACTGTCACTAAATTGGATTTAGAAGTTAAAACTGTAACAAATATAAAAAACAAGTTACTTTTACCAAATAAAAAACTCCTTAAGGAGTGCACGTAAAACAGTTGATAATATAGCATCTAATTAAATCCTCCAAAAAACATTAAAATAATTCTGTTTTGTTTATTTCGTTTTCATTAGATATGCCTGAAGAAAAACACAATTGATTAAGTCTGCTATCTCCAGGGACGATTATCTTGGCAAAGAACTACTCCCTCCTCCGTCAGAGTGATTAGCCCCACAGGAGTGTGTGTGGCCTGAGGTGGAGCCGGCAGCACGGGGAGGTGAGAAGCCCTGTCCACTGAGAGAAGGAGGGCACAAAAGGCCCACATTAAACCAGAATAGGCCCCTTGATGGCTGTACAAAGAACAATGACAGCCTCTGTCTCCAATAGTCCATTCAGTGGAAGGAGCTCAGGTGTACTGCATGTGCAAAAGACTAATGCAAATCAGCCTGACTCAGAGCAGCTGCACAAAGTCCCGGAGCCTAGAACAAAACCTGACATTTAGGGGATTAAAAAAGCTCCCCAGATATGTGATGTTCCTGTAGGGGCCAAAGACAGAGACACTGAGCTCAAGGCCCAGTACACCTTTTAATGGTATCCTTCATATCTGACTCCTGTTATTATTCCATCAATCCAGCCATTATTGCATTAATCTTTCGTGTTACCATCCTTTTCTGGTCAGAAATTAGCTTTAGGAATAGCTAAATGTCAGAAACAGGCTTTTAAGAGCTCCAAGAAATTACTGCTCTTAAGAATCTTAAACAATTGTCTACGTGCAACATATGAACTCTGCCATTTTAATTTGGGTATAGCTGCCCTTTTATTCTGCAGTAAAAGGGTGGGGCTTTTAGTATGAGTCCCTTAAGTGAGTTAGATGTCCCTATATACGGGGAGTCAAGCTTCCCAGAGGAAGGTCCACACAGACACAATAACAAGATAACAGCCTGAGGAGAAGCCCTGACGCTGTTTGTAACATGTTTTTGTTGCTCTCTGGGAACTGTCTCATTTACTCTGCGGCGAGTTGAACTCTATTGAGAATTAACTTCTCAGCAAACTAGAAACAAGGCTTCTTAATGTGCTTCAGAGCAAGAACACAAGATGAAATACAAGTCTCCATGATAAACACCTGGTGTTAATGGGAAATTGTATTGTGAGTGAGTGAATGATGTCTAGAAAATGGTAAACCCTAACCAATATTTATTTTCCTTTTTCCACCAGGGTCCTTTTACAGTGACAAAATCATGGAGAGAAATGTTTCTTCAACCACTGTCCAGACTCTACTCCCTCTTAACACCACTGCTGGCACCAATGCCACAGCAGAACCCTTCAGTGTGTTTTACGGATGCGACCATCAGGCAGAGGGTATTCTCTTTGATCTGACCTTCCAGAGCATCAACGTTATCGTGGGAATCCCAGCCAACTTACTTGTCATTGCAATCCTCATCCGAAATCGCAAAGAACCCACAACTTCAGACATATTCTTGGGCTGCCTGGCTTTCATGGATGTCTATTTTAGTGCCATGACCCCTCTCACCTTCCTTAACCTGTACTACTGGCAGAGCAAAGACGTTTGGTTAGCCGCCAAGTTTTCTTATGGTGTAAAAGACACTAGTGGGCCATTGTTTCTATCCTGTATCTGCCTAGATCGCTTTGTAGCTGTGATCTTTCCAGTAAGGTTTGGGCAGTTTAAACCCATCATTTATAGGTTAAGCCTCTCATTGCTGGTATTCTGCCTTACCTTTGCCTACTCTGCTGCCAAGACTGTGGGAGGCCTCCCCAACTTTGAAAAGGTGTTCACTGGTGAAATGCTGGCAGCATTTACTTGGATGGTCTTGTGTAATGTGAGCATACTGTGGGCCCTGAAGAAGTCCAGCAGGGCAGGAGGGAAAGATGAGATGCACCCCATGAAGAAGAAGGCCTTCAAGACAGTGCTGTCCATCCTTTGTATCATTGTGTTTAACTACCTGCCACCTGTAGCACTGTTTCCTTTTGAAGACGTCTACTCCCCTGATGTGTTCCGCTGCTACGTGCAGCCTGTGGGCTACGCTTTCCTTAACATCAGCAGCACCATCCAGCCGCTTATCTATCTATGTCGTCTGGACAAGGTGCCTTTCTTCTCAGACACCTGCCTGAAAAAGTGCTGTATCTGTGTTAATGCAAAGAACAACAAAACCCCAGCTGCACAAATCCCACCTGCTTAGAAGAAGTAATACACATATTGGTTTGGCACCCTTGGTTTGATTATTTGATAAATGTGTTTCACTGATTAGATTTATTTTATGTAGATTGAAAATATATAATCCTGAAAAAAGATGAACCTCATAAATAATGAGTCAACAATTGGCAAATCAACATTTTAATATAATGTTTTCATAAACTAATCATGTTTAAGATACATTTATTTACGATTTATGTGTGATACAGTCTACACACTGTAATGAAAACCTTTATTACTTTGGTTTTGGCGCCATCATGTGTACAAAAGTGACCAATAAACTCAACTGTAAAGTCTAATCCTTCCTTGTGTGAAGAATGTGATTTGTGTGAGTTTGTGTGTTTTTCTTAAAGTGTATTGTGCTAAAAGGGTTAGACACTTATCCTTCATTCAAAACCAACATAAAATTAAAATAATTACCAATAGAACAATCATAGAAAACATGTGCAGCAGTATTATACAATCAGACATAAGGCCATTCAAAATGATTAAACATAAGGAAATTGCATGCTACAAACCATAACCCACTTATGGATGAACTCAAACTTCATATTTATTCTTCTTCATTTTGTTTGGGAAGTGAACTATAGCTGAATGGTTCCCAAACTTAACTCAACAGCTTATTTTAAAGGTTCGAGCTTTTATTCATCCAGCATTTTAGGATGTATGACAGCAATTGTGATTGGAAGAGCCATATTGGCTGCTTGACCTACCAGAGAATAACCTAAGCCAATTTTGACAACTTTTCCAATGGCAGTTGCTATAGCATCCACTCCCAAAGTTGTACAATCTAGAGTGAAAGATGTCAAGTTTCAGGCCTATATAAATGAGTGACGACAGCCACTAATAAAAAATGATTTACTTTTTTTTTGTTAAAGCTTTGATATATTGGTTGCTGTTTGAATGTAGCCTAATTAAAATTACAACAAATAAAACAGAAAATGTTTCCAAAGAACATTAACATTTCAGCCAGTAAATCCCAAAATACAAATATCCCTGTCCTTCATCCGCTTATTGGCGGAACATTGTGATGAGTACTTTCTCTGGCATTATTCTCAATGGATGACTGTTTTGTGTATAGAAATATGGAAGTAAAGTTTCTGTGAACGTGTGTGTGAATGCATAAATGAGTGTGTCATCAGCAGGGTCAAAGAAAGACATTGTCCCTTTGTTGTAATCCAGTTGAATTTTGACCTGTTTTGGCACTCTTGTAAGTGTCAGAGGGGTCGGGGGGGAGGTCATTGCCCTGAACTCTCCGTCCCGTAAACACAAAGTCCAGAAGCCGTTTTCAGGCCGAGCGCAGACCTCAGAGTTTCTAGGTACAGACAAAGAGGCCACACCCAGGAGCCAGTCCTGATTACTTCCTGTTTCCACGATCCAGTGGTGGCTTCCTGAGCCCAATGCGTCCATGCCAACCACTTCTACACTCATGTGGAAGCGCTCTGGGTTGTCAGGGCAACCGGTGTGCTGCTTTGAGTAGTGGAGGGAAGTGAGGTCGTCTGACAGGATGAGGCAGGGGTGTGCTGTGTTTGGGTCCAAAATAACAGGGGCTAAAAGACAGGATATTAGCAGAAAGATTGATGAGGAAACACGGTCTGGGTTTTACAATTTTACTCTCTAGGCCTTGAAGCCTTATAGCTATGACATGTACTCACTATAGTCAATTTTGTCCAGCATTTTCTCCCATACTTTATATTTGAGGTTGCAGAGATGCTTTGTCACATCAATTAGTAACCCCGACAAGTTGTCTGAACCAAGAGGTATGCTTCTTTCTCTGTGATAGAAACACATATTTTGGACTGAGAATATGGCATTGTCAACTCAAAGAGTGTAAACCCATAACTGTGCTGACCTACCTGTCCTGAGTGGCCTTGAAATTCTGGAAAACAGAAAGAGTCACAGTCAAGGTGGGAGGTTTTGGGGAACAATATTAAAAGGTTGATTTATACCTGACTGTACAGACCTTCAACAAGATCATATCTTCTTCTTGCAGCTGCTCCTGTATGATTGAGATGGTCTCTGCGAGCGATAGCACTTCTGCTGACAGTTCTTTAATCTTATCCTGCAATCTTTTCTTCTTCTTCTTTTTTAACTGCAGCTATTCTGGCTGACTCTTCCTCAAGAGTTGCTTGAACTGGCTCTCGATCAATGTCTGGGTTTCTTGTGCTTGATTCTGAGGAAGATTAGGCAAATTCTGGTTTATTTGACCAGATTATTTTTCATTCAAAACCACACATCTGACATCTCATCACATTTACCTTGATAAACTTGAACATGTCTGAATCCTTTGGAGGCCGTCCATTTTATCTTGTAAGTTCTTGAGTGATAAAGCAAGTTCATCCTGAAAGACAAGCAGGTGAGAGTCAGCAGAGATCAATTAATTTTATATAAGGATGTATCAGAATTATGAGTGCTTTGAATATCTTGGCCCAGGAGTTTTTTCACAATCTGGACAGACTTGCTGGGCAGCATTCTACCCTTGGGTGTTACCTTGAATACACCAGGTGTACAAAAACAACAGAGTCCATTTAAAAGGTTGCTTTTACGATGAAGTCTGGAAACACATTGATTTTTTCCCCCCTTACCTTGCAGTCCAGCACTGCCTCTTCTATAGGCGAGCAGTCGTGACCCTTGTGCAGTTTGGAAGACTGACACACCACACAGATGGGTTGTTTGTCAACCAGACAGAAAAGTTTTAACTTCTCCCTGTGCAGAATACAATTCAAAGTTTCTTCCACCAACATTGAATTCTTCCTGGCCTGCAAAAGGGCTTCACAGACGTTTCTCAGAGCCAAATTGGTGTGAGGACTGGCCTTAGAGGCTCTTTTCCTGCATACTGGACAGTCACGTACGCCTGTTTCCCAACAGTGCTTCACACAGCTCCTGCAGAAGCTGTGGCTACATGGCAGCAACACGGGGTCGGTAAAGATGTCACAGCAGATTGGACATGTGATATCACTCTGGGAGAGACATGATCAGTAGCTTGTCACGTACAATGCAGTTAATCCACAGTTCAAAACAGCACAAATCCTCCGGTTTAAGTCCTCATGTACTTATAATGGTTCCTCTGGCAGTAGCATAATAATTTTGTGCGCCTCGTTAAACTTGTCTCTCTAGCCTCAGAGCACACTGACAGCCTATCTATTGTTCTTGACATGAAGTAGCACAGGCTCTTGGTTTTCCTGTGCATGATTTTTGTGGGAGTAACTCAAATCATGCAGCACCAAGCTGGGAAACAGGAAATGAAACCCTATAGAGTGGCGAGGTCCCTCCCCTTCCGGTGGACCTCCATGGGACCTTATTTCGGAAAAATGATGTATTGAAGTCAATGGAGAGAGAAAGATTATCTTTCGATCCCGTTTGAATTGTGCCACGAATTACACATATGATGTTTGTCAATTTAAAAGATAATTTTGCAAGTCAAAAAAAAAAAAAAAGTGTCGTAAAACTGTGAAGTAACACATTTGTTTGTGTGAAACGCTCAATGAACTACATCTCTGGTCAACAACACACGTCACCAAGATGGCCGTCACTACTGTCTTGTCAACAAAACGATTGACTATCCTCACTATCACCACAATGAAACACGTCCTGAAGAATGTCATGCAAAGCTGCCTGCCTGCCTTCCTTTGATTCTCTCTGAACTGCCTGGTCGTTTTAATGTTTAATGTCAACCATTTGTGCAGATAGCATGAAGTAGAGAAGATCGCCGATGCTAACGTTAGCGTTAGCATTTCTCCCCCGGGCTTAAATGGTGTATTATAGAATGATCACACCGGTGACAGTACTATTCAAAGGGTTCACGAAATATGACTACTACTCTTACTGTTTAACATTTTGGGTTACTTAATGTTACTTCATGTTAAGGCTAATAAAAATGACAAGGCTGTAATGCTAACTAACGTGCTAGCTACTAGCTAGGTAGCTAACTTGATCAAGCCACTCCTGGTCCTTTCATCAGACGGGAAGCAAAAGAACGAGCAAGACCCATTGCTGGTATAATAACAACCTGGTACTAAGCACACAGGCATCTTGTTAAAGTTATCTTATCTTAGCCAGCGCCATATAGATAGAGTATATCTATATTGCGCTGATCTTAGGTATCTGAATGGTGGAGGAAAACAATTGTGACATCACTTACGCGACTCTGGGATTTGTAGTCTTTCTAGTTACGTATTTTTCATAGTCTTATATTTCAACAGTTTTACGACAAACTGTGACTTTTTTGACATGGAAATTATTTTTTAAGATTGACAAACATCATATGTGTAATTCATGGCACAATTCAAACGGGATCGAAAGATAAGTTTTCTCTCCCCATTGACTTCAATGCATAATTTTTCCGAAATAAGGTGCCATTACCCGGAAGTAGGTGGGCGTCACTCTAAAACTGTTGAAATATAAGACTATGGCCGTGTCTCAATTCAGGGGCTGCACCCTTCGGAGTACGCAGCCTACGCGGTCCACGGAGGACCCAGCCCACGTAGACCGGGTAGGCTGGACCGAGCGGCCTACGAAATGAGACGGTCTAGCCTACGGAGCGCTTCGTATTTATGTCACGTGATACGCGCTGTTCGGTTGCGTTGCTCCAGCAGCCTGCTAGCAAATTAGCTTACAAGCTAACTCAGCTGAAAAGGATCCAGAAACTTTACTACTTTTACATTTTTTGGAGATCACCGTCGGCGATGAATTAAAGAGGACCATGGCCAGGTAAATAAGATGAAGCTGTTCCTTTAGCCCCCAGTAATGTTACATTAGTAAGTTAACAAGTAAATTATATATAGCTGATGTAATTTAATCATATTATTTCATATTTAAAATAAGTCTTAATTTTTCTGTACTAATAAAACAATATGTTTTTTAAATGAACAAAAGCATGTTGTATAGATTGATTCTTAACAATATTAGTCTTCTAATCTTAATAGCTGTGATCATAACAGTTTATATTCTCCTTCTTCCCCTAAACCTGCCCAGATGATGTCCCAC